TTGGCCTCCTTCCTCTTCTCTCCTCTTCCCCTCCCCTGACGGCATCCTGGCGCTAAAACGTCTGATTCTCTGCGTCTTGTGCCCTTATAGTCTGCCTGCCAAGCTGATCAATGGAGGGATAGCTGGGCTCATCGGGGTCACCTGCGTGTTTCCCATTGACCTGGCAAAAACTCGCCTGCAGAACCAGCAGAATGGCCAGCGGTTGTACACCAGCATGTGAGTACCGCCCACGTGTCCCCGGGGACTCCTTCCGCTCCCTGTTTTCATTTCTTCAATATGTTTCTCGTGCTGGAGATCCTCCCCTTCCCATGTCGGTCTTAAAAAGAGGAAGAAGTGGCCACCCATTCCCAGTCTAGAGCACCTCCTGCAGACCTTTTGAGGGATCATAGGTTGGCACACGCTGTAGTTGCCCCAGCAGTCCTATGTCAAAAAAAAAGTAAAGAATCGAGTGCTGCAGGCTGTAGGAAAAGAAGGCATGAATGTATCCTGCCCCCCAAATTCACCTGAGGCCCGTACGGGATGCTTTGGGGCTGTGTAGCTGCTGTGGGAATGTGCACCATGCTCAGCACAAGATGCTTTATCCTAGGAACCAGCGTCAGGCCTTAGTTTCCCAAAAGGATTGGTGTGGTTGAGCGGGGAGAAGAGGCTGGGACTGATGATGTGTGTCCTGTCCTCCTGCCTCTCTTGTTCAGAAGCAGCTCCTTGCTCCTCCACACCAGTGGGGCAGAATAGGAAATAGGAAGGAAATGCTCTGTATGTTGGTTTGTCTGAGCTCCCCGGTTACAGGACCTAATTTTTCGGGAAATACTGTGTGCCCGTCGATACCAGATCTCAAGGGTGTCCCCTGAACACCCAGGAAGGCAGAGGGTTCCTGTAAAATCTTGGCTGCCGTGCTTTAGAGGCAGCACGTCTTGCTTCTGCTCAGCTCGAGAGACCTTTGGCATCAGGGGAGGGTTTCCCTTTGGAAGAGCCAACCATGCTTTGAAGCAGCCCTGAGGGGTGGAGAGAGCTGGGCTTGCCCCAGGGTTGTTATATGTAAATATAGTGTTATAGATATTTATATCACAGAATGTCAGGGATTGGAAGGGACCTTGAAAGATCGTCTAGTCCAAACCCCCTGCCAGAGCAGGGTCACCCAGTCATTCAGGTTGGAAAAGACTCTTGGGATCATCAAGCCCATCCATTAACCCTGCTCTACAAAGCTCACCCTTAAACCATCTCCCCCAACACCACATCCAAACGACCTTTAAACCCATCCAGGGATGGAGACTCACTCTGACTACTCTTTCTGTGAAAAAAAATCTCCTAATATCCAGTCTAACCCTCCCCTGTTGCAGTTTGAAGCCATTCCCTCTTGTTCTATAGCTAATTACCCATGAGAAGAGACCAGCACCAACCTCTCTACAACATCCTTTCAAGTAGTTATAGAGAAGGATACGGCAGGGTCCCAAAGGATGCGGGAGTCCCAACAGAGAGGGGACCCTCGGTGTTGTGGCTGGCAGTGGTGCAGGATGAGCTTTTCGCAAATAACGTGGGGTGTGCTAGAACAGTCTTGACCCAAGCTGGGCCATAATGCCTTAAGCTTCCCTTACAGCTACTTAAAAAAGACTTTTCTCCCTTAATTACTTACGTGTGCACCTCCCCATTCTCGCATGGCCAAGGTGAGGACCTATCCCTTCCCGAGGATCCCGCAGCAACCTTCAGCCGGCACCTGGGCTCTGCGCAGCCACGGTCCAGAGAGAGAAAACTCCACCAGGGCATCTATGCTGCCTTTCTCAACCACCCCTCTAGATTCGCCTCTGTGCCTTTGGAAGGTTTTGAGGCACTCCAGTGCTCTGCAGTTTGCAGTAAGGGTGGCTGAAACAAAGAAAACGAGGAATTTTTCCTGGGAGAGGAGCTCGGGGGCACCCCGGGGTGAGAGGGCCAGAGCGCTCGCAGGGGCACAAATGTGTTAAAAGTGCCTTAATCTGGAGGTCACAAATGACTGACCGTTCAGGTCGTCTGTTTGCTGCTTTGTGTCAGATTTCATGGAATTAAGTCACACAAGTCAGCGTTGGGGGTTTTGCATGACACCCCCCTCCACATACACCCTATTTCCCACCCAGAGCTGGATTTAAAACCGTGCGCACAGGGATCTGCTTGTTAGAGCATCTCATGCGTGTTTGCCCCGGGGGAACCCTGGATAAACAGCCCTCGGAGTGACCCTCTTCTCTTTTGTGTTTCCAGAAAGCAGAGAGCGCGCGCGTGGGGCGAGCTGGGGGGTTTCAAAGCCCCCGGGAATTAGGGGCTGGAGTTGGACTCGGGCCTGAACAATGGCACATTCAGCGGCTGATGCGGTTCCCTGCTCCGCTCAGGGTTTTGCTGACAGATCACAAATGAAAACCACTCCAAAGGATTTGGTTTTGTTTTGGGGCTCTTTTTTTTTAGTTTGTTTTTTTTCCCTCAGTTCTCTCTCCCACCTTTCAAGCTCCCATGTTTTCTCTCTCTCTGTTTTGTTTGCAGGTCTGACTGCCTCGTTAAAACAATCCGGTCGGAGGGCTACTTCGGCATGTACAGAGGTAAGGAAAGCTGAGCTGGGCACAGCGCTGGTGCAGAAATGGGAGGAAAAACCTGTATTCTCTGGCTTATAAAGCAATATCCTAAGATGCTGAAAGGTGCAGCTGTCTGTGAAAATAAACTGCTCCACGCCAGGTGTCGGCTCAGCTCTACTGTTGAGAGCTTGAGTTCTCCCCACAGCTGCTTTGGTGTTAAATCTTACTGCTTACTGAAATTCCTTCTTGCTCACAGTTTAAGTGAAGCTGCTGGACTTTGTTTCCGGACTGTATGTGTGTGTTTCCCAGCTTAGGCAGTAGCAAACCTCTTGAAGCGTCTTCGTGGTTGATTGAATTGATGTCCAAGCCCACCGTGCTTGGGCCTGCCATGCCAGCTTGTCTCCAAAATGAGCTGTCCCTTGGGCATGCCCCAGTGCTTCGATCAAGTAAATCAAGAGAAGTTGCAATTAAAAAACTAAAGAAAAAAAGAAAAAATAACCTGCCTCCAGGAAAAAAACTCCATTAGGGTGGTAAGAATATCAGAACTTGGCTCATCGTGGAGCTTCAGCTGTTTGATCATGATATTCTGGCCTGCTAGAAAACTCCTGGCTCCTAGGCTTGGGCTGTTGGTGTTGGGACAGAGGCTGGACTTGATGATCTCTGAGGTCTTTTCCTCACAATTCTGTGATTCTGTTGGTGGAAGCAGTGAGTTCCTCAGTTGCCGTTAGACCTTTTCGCGTTGAAACACAAAATCCTTAAAGTTTTGAAAGGCTGTGGGATAAGAACAGCGGGCCAAATTCTGACTTCCCTCGCAGGGGAGGAACACGCAGAGTAGCTTCTTGGCTTTCAGTCCGGCTGGCTTAGCTGACACTGAGCTCTGGTTCGTTTTATAGACGCATATTCAATTGCCTGAGTACGCAGTTTTTATCTCCGATACCGTTCTCCGTGGCGCTCATTCACTGATAACGCTCGATTAAAACACCGCTTTGATGAAGCGAGTCCTTGCCCTTTGTTTTGTGTTGTTTTTTTTATTTTTTGTTTTGTTTTGTTTTCCCAAGCGGGACCTGGCAATGCTGGCGCCTCGCTGTTGGCAGCGTCTCTTGCCGCTTCTTCCGTAGCTTCCGGGGAGCCGCAGACGCCGTGGGCCGCGGTGTCTTGCCTCTTCTCCGGTGGCGGCGGGGGAGCCGCAGACGCCGTGGCTGGGCTGGTTGAGGCAGCTTCTCTTGCCCAACTTGCTGGTGGGCGTTCTGGGGGAGTGGGGTGGATACTGGGGATGGATTGGCTGCTTCGCCTTGGCTTCCCTGGGAGCAGGCAACGAGACAAATAACCCTGAGGAACGCTGGCAAGCTCAGTCTTCAGTGCTAGCAGTGATGCGTTTCTCATTCTTGTTGTTTTTTTTTTCCCAGAAAAACCCTCCCGTGTTCCTCGCCAGGAACTTTGGTGGGAAATACGTGGCAACAGGCTGCTCACTGGCAAGCAGAAGGAAGAAAAGCTGCTCCTGAAAACTCCCAGGAGAGGCTGTAGGACCCAGCAGGGCTTTGGGGAGAGACAGCTCAGTCCTATAAGACATAAGCTGGGGGGGGATGTGCATCTCCAGGCAGCTTTTTGCTCCTGAGCAGAAACCTGTAGGGCTGCAAGAAGGATTTGCATAGCTCCTCGTTTTCCTAGCCGTAGAAAATCTGGTCAGCTTGGTTCAAAACCCACTAACTTTGCACCTGTTCCCTTCTGTGAGCTGACAGTGGCTGAATTTACGCGTTGCCTCTGTTAAGTGGGGGAGCTGGGGTTGAAGAGGGCTTTTGTGAATAGCTCCAGCTCCTTCCAGAAATGAATAAGCATTTCAGCACGAGAGAGTGCGAAAGTGAGTCTTCCAAGCCCAGCAAACCTGGTCTCTGTGCCTCAGTTCCATGAGCTGACATCAGCAGCCCTTTCCCTCCCTCTTGGGGTGGGTAAAATACATCCAAGATCCGTGAGCAAGCAAGCGCTTTTCTGGAAAGAAGGTAGAGGCGACTCAGCCTTGCAGACAGGGGAGGGTGGAAATCAGGTGGTGGGATTGAGTCCTTCTCCCTCCATCTGTCCCAGTTCCCCGGCAGAAGCTGCTGCATGACTCACAAGCTCTTATTTTCAGCCTTTAAGCTGAAATTGGGAGGATTATCTGTCAGCGTGCTGAAGCGGCAGCTGCTGTGCCCCGTGGAGGAGTCATGAGCCCCACAGTCATCCCTGCAGGACTTGTCCTCTTGTTGGGGGACAGAAAGTCTCTGCTTGGGCGCAGCCATCCCCACGGTGTGACTTTGGATCTCCGTCACGTGCGAATCGAAGCCTCAGTGGGAACAGGAGAGAGGCTTGAGCTCGTAGGGTGATGCTGTTCCACAGATCACCTCGTCTGCGCGCGGGCACACGCTCCTTGCCCTGTACGAGCAGCCCGTAGCGAGTTGTGTAACATCTAAGGTGATCCTGATGCTTCTCGATGCTTCTTCCCCTGAAGTTACAGGGATTCTTGGGTTGGTTTGGTGGAGGAAGAAGAGGAGGCAGGGGGTTTTTTTACTATTTTTTCTGGTCACAGCAGTGCCTCGAAGCCAGGCAGTGCGACACCTCTGGATGTGCGGTGCCGGGAGAATGAATCCATGGCACCTGCGGGCTCCTGAACCGTGTGGACACCAGCGGGAGGGCACCTTGGCGAGGTGACCTCCATCTAGAAGCCACCTAGAAGTCCCAGCACAGCCTGAAAGCCTCACTGCTGTTTGCAGACCAGGCTTTCAGCCTAGCTGCTGGGAGCCAAGGGCCTCCATCAGGCTGGGCAAGTGCCCTGGGGCTTGTCGACAGCCTTTGTAGCTGCAGTTTTAGCTACAGAACCTTCCCGGCCTCTGCTAATAACACCTCCCACCCGCACCGAGGATGATTCAGCCGCCCAGTGACGCAGGTTGCCGGTGGTGTACAAGGGCTTCTGTGAGAAATGCGCATTCTTAACAAAACCTGAGGCTCAGGGAGAAGGGGCCACTCGACGGGTTCAGTTGGCAAACCTCTACTCGGTTTCATTCTGTGTGGTGCTTCCCTACTTCTTGACAAAAGGCTTTCCTTTTTGGAAGGATTGTGATTTATTTTATGCGTTCTGTTTGTCTGTCGCCACTTCTGTGCCCGTGTAATGTTGCCTGTAGGCCAAGGTTAGCTTTAATTAGGGAAATAGAGTCATTTGCATAGCTAGAATTGAAGAGCTATGAGATTTGGGTGAAAAAAAAAAAGGTAGAGAATGCTGTAGAAAACATACAGCCAGCAGCTGAAGTATCTCATTTCTCCTCCTCCAGTGGATTGAAGCTGTTATGGATTATTGAGGACAGGGATTATCCATTCTCTGCTAAGCAGCTTTGCTGAAAATATCAGAGATGCAGGAGACAACCCAGGTTCATTAACTTTTCTGTGTTTTGTGTGGTTTTTACCCTCTGCTTTGTTCACAGCTGAAGGAGAAATTGCTGTGAAAGCTTCTTGGCTCCCGGAGGAGGTCGGCACATGGAAGTGTGCTTCTTCCTTTCTTATTTAATGGTTTGGAGTTTTTCTTTCTTTCAACGAACCCTTTGCACTGATGTTAGAGTAGATGATTTATTCTTTCTTTTTTCCTTTCCTTATTTTTCCAAGGAGGTGGTTATTCGTGTGGCATGCCATAACGTACAAGCATCTTCCTTTCTGGCCATGAGGAGTGCGGTTGAAGTCGTCTTCGACTTGGCATTTGAGGAAACGTTTCACGGGTAGCTGCTTAAAAATCAGCCTGCCTGGGTTTTTCTTTGTAGATCCTCATACAATGGACACGAAAAGGTGGAGCTCCCTGGCTGGTTCATTTGGCTCGTGTAAAAGATGATGGCATTTCTCGTGGCCGGCGTGGAATGAATGCGTTGGCTTAGCTCGCTGCGAGGCGGCGTTACTCGTTGTTTTTCTGCCAAACCTGCCCGTGGCAACTGGAAGGAGGGAGAATGCGGTGGGCTGCCCAGCCCTGCCCAGCAAAGTTCAGCTGATTTTCTTGCTGCGTTTTTCCACGTGATGGAAATGCATCCTCAGAGCAGAGGATGTGGAGCCAAGGATTCCCGTGTCCTGGTCCCAGAAGTCCCAGTTGCGATTTTGCTTCGGATCCCGAGGAAAGTCGCCCTAAACCTTTGTCTTTCTGTGTCTAATTTAGGAATTTTTCAATAATTTAGGGAGGTTCATCCACCGTGAGCAACAGATGATTGAGCTGCCTCTCTTTAGTTGTGTCGAGCCCTTAAACCTCCTGCAAATGAACCCCACCAGGTCTTGGGAGCCTGGTGGGAACACAGACTTCTCCGCTTCTCTTGGGAAAATGGAGCTTTAGGACAAGTTATTTATATCTCTACAGCAAACGTAAATGCAAAAGTACCTCCTAGTACTGGTGCTTGTCCCTGCAAGGGTGTTCATGGGCTGTTAGCGTGTCCTGAGCAAAGCTCCTCCGAAGGAGTCGGAGCTCGGCATGCTGGAGGCAGAGGCAGGGAGAGCGTGTGCTCGTCTGGAGGACTTTTTGAGCCAGAAGGCTTAAAGGGAGGAGAATATTCTGGAGCGTGAGTCTAACAGTACAAAAGCCAGTATGGCAAGGAGGGACTGACCGTCCCCTCACCCCATTGCCCCCCGGGCAGCTTGAATGCCGGTGTCCATGTCCCGGCCAGGCCACGCAGACCTCTCTTTGTGGCAGGCACAATACAGGGATTTGCTGCTTGTTGCTCCTGACAAAAGGCTGCTCCGACGGGTGCTGGGCGACCCGAGGCTTGTTTTTATACCCAGGTTCCCTCAGCAAGACTTGCCGGGGGTGCTCAGGGAATTTCTGCACGCTGGTGGTGGACAAAAATCCCACTTCCATGGTGGCTGCTCGGAGGGTGACACCCAGTGGTGATAGGCAAGGGGAGCGACGTAGCTCCGGGCAGGTTGGAAAGTCTCCAGAGCAGGAGACTCCACACCCTCTCTGGGCAGCCTGGGCCAGGGCTCCGGCACCCGCACAGCCAACAAGTTTCTCCTCACGTTGAGGTGGAACTTCCCATGTTCTAACTTACACTCATTATTGCTTGTTCTGTTGCTGGGCACCACCGAGAAGAGATGTTCAAGTCCCTTCATCATCCTCGTAGCTCTCTGAGAGAGCTACGAGGATGATGAAGGGAGTAGGTCCCATTTCAAACCTGTTATTGCTTGTTCTATTGCTGGGCACCACTGAGCAGAGATTGTCCCCTTCCCCTTAACTCCCACCCCTCAGGTATTTGTATACATGAATAAGGTCCCCTCTCAGCCTTCTCTTTTCGAGACTAAACAGCCTCATTTCTCGTGGTCAAGGTGTGTATGCATGACGGGAGGTAGTGGGGAAGCTAAAGAAATTACAAAAAAACACGCTGCGAGTGGAGCAGAAACACATCGGGACATGTTTTCAAAAGCTTGAGGTGTTGGGAGGCAGAAATCCTATTAATTTCCAGTGGTGTTCGTCTTTCTAAACCCCTTTGATGCATCGGGAGCTCTCCTTCATCAGTCCTTGAGCAGGAGTTACATGTTCCTGAAAGACCGAGTTGAACGGTTCCTTTGTTTTCCCTCTCCAATGGCCTTTTCTTCTTTTCCTTGCCCAGGGGCTGCAGTGAACTTGACTCTAGTGACACCAGAAAAGGCCATCAAACTGGCAGCCAATGACTTCTTCCGGCATCACCTCTCCAAAGACGGGTGAGTAGGGGTTTGCAGACCTTCTGACTTCGTTTTCAAGGACACCAGCTCTTGGGATGAGCCTGGCAAGACGTCAGGCCAAAGGCTGAATGGGCTGATGTCACGACTAAAATACAAGTTGACCTTGAGCAGCTCGGCCGGTGGTGACATTCGGGCTGAGAACGTAACATCTAAAATGGGAAGTGCAAAGCGCTCCGCTGCATGACTGCTTTTCTTTCGAGCTTCTAAAAATAGTCCCGGCTCTAAGCCAAGGTTAGCAGATCCAGAATTTGGAGGCAGAATACTTGAGAGGAACCCAACGGCGCTGCTCATGGCTCAGACAGCTGCTGGGAGGACCCTTGTCTGCAGCATCCTATTGGGTGCTGCTCTCTACTTTCTGGCTTGAACAGACAGCGAATTCTGTAGACCCCAAACTTAGCATCCCTTGTCCTTTTGTAGCTTGAAAATAATTTTAGAAAGGTGATGAACCCGACTTGACAAAGGACACCTGCAGTGTTTACCCAGCAGCAAATGCTGAAGGAATAAAATTATCTTTTTGGCTGGCAAGTGAGTTTGGTTCATGTGGATTAAACGTGAGCGAGAGTTGCTGGCTGAGCAGCTGAGCGGGCCTGAGCCCTGAGTATTTAATGCTGTTTTCACCCAGATATTTCCCTTGCTCTTTGGAGAATGCTTGGGCCTCCCTTCAGACCAAGACCTTTCTCCAGAGACAGGCAGTGAAGGGCACTGTCTCGGTGACCGTAAGCAGAAAACAGAGAAATGTGCCTGACTCTTCCCACCAGCAGAGGAGAGAGATGCAAAGCTCTGCCAAAATTACTTGGTTTAACAACTTGTTGTAACGTACCACGTCAGTCTCAGCCACTGCAGATCAGCTTAATTCGAGGCTGTGGACTGACACGGGTTGAAGATGTATTTTTTTCACATACCTAATTATTTTTTTTGTTTTGTTCTGTAGCCTTTTAAAGTAGCAGTTACCACACGTCTGTGTGACTCAGCGGCTCGCAGCTGTTTGATTTTTCTGTCTCGTCTCTTGCTTTTTCTGTCTCGTCTCTTCCGTGCTCTGCTCAGGCAGTGGGAGGTAGCGATGTCCTCAGTGCTCTTCGCTTCTCCCAAGCGGTGGCTCTGATCCCTGCAGCAGCAATGGGTCAGGCCCTGGCTGTCCCCACAGACAGGGGTGCAGGTAGCTTCTTGTCACCCCCTCCATGAGGTGAGGGCTTAGTGGGTCGGACAGGGAAGACAAAGAGGGCCAAGCTGCCACGCCGTGGTCTTCACCCAAACCTCTCCCAGTTGGATGTCTGGGTCTCTGGCTGATCCACACGTGGATGATGTGCAGTGCTTGCTTCAGAATAAAGGAGATTGAGTTTTGCCAAGAGTGAGAAGATGTGTTCTCCTAAAACACGTCCGCTGATGGGACGAGCACGATGGTGACCGGGAGCATGACACCACTCGTGATAGCGGTGAGCCTTTACGTCGTGACACAGAGCATTTTTAAGGCCTTTAGAGAAAAGAAAGGCTGGGCCACAGTTAGGTGACGAGAGCACGTGGAGCCAGAGCCACTCATCTCAACCAACTTCTGTGGGGGGCTCAAGTGAATAAAATCTGGTCAGCTCTGCTTGTGACAGCGGCCAGCATGAACTTGAGATGCTTCTGTCCCCTCCTCCCTGGGGAGGAGCTCCTTCTAGGGGCTGCCCTTTCATGGTGAGCCACCAAAGATCTCCATTCAGCTCCACCAAAGCCCTTTTTGCACAGCCTGTCTGCTGGACCTTCCCGGCACGCGGTGCTTGTCAGCCAGCTTCCCAAAGGACGCGTTGGTGCTTTTCTGACTCAGAGATGCAGAAGTCTTCTTGACTGAATGCCTTTATTACTGAGCACTTGCCTCGCTTGAAATGCGTTGCATGAACTGGAGATCCTGTTAAAACGTGGGTGGTCTATCCTATTTGCTGATTAAAATATGCTGAGCGTGTCCATGTGCAAGTGGAAGAAGTGCGTGGGGAGAGAGAATCCAGCGCAACCTCAAACATCCTCCAGTTACACAACAGCTTTTAGTGTGTGTGAATTTTAATTTTTATACTTTTATTTATTTTAATCCTTAAAAAAACTTAGTTTTCAAAAGTACTTACTTTGGTTTAAAAAAAAAAAAAAGTGACGTAAAGCCCAGTTCCGAAAGGCCAGACTGAAAACACCACCTGTGGCGTGGGAAGCTCCCGGCTGCAAATTGCTGGCAGCGTGTTTCGGGGACGTATCACTGCAGGTTTGCGCTAGCCTCCCTTGGCCCTGGCTGAGCTCTGGGATGCTGCTGGAGGTGGAGTTTTTGGAGCAGCAGGACCTCCCGTGGGACCTCGTGCCCTTCTTGGGGCACCCATCTCCCTGAGTCGGGAGCCGTGTGTTCCTGCAGCTCTCTCCACCCTGGGCTGGCTCGAGTGGCCACTCGTGATGGTTTTTCCCCTCTGCTTTTGATGCAGGAAGGATGTGTACTTGCAGGTTGGGGGACTTAATTTCTGCTAATTCACTAGTTTCTATTTTTATATCAAGACCGTTAATGATACTCTATTTCTACAGCTTCTTGTTTCGTGAGGAAACAAAGCTGTTTGTCCTCCCAAGACATCCTGGTCATTTAGGGACAAGGGAGGCCTGGGTGGGTTGTGGGAGTGCTGGAAACCCCCTTTTCATGGAGGAAAGGAGGAGACTCAAGATGCTTAAAAATCTGAAGGGCACTCCGTGAACCCTGATGGAGAAAGGCAATAAGGGTCAAGCAAGTGAGGAGTATGGCCTGAGGGCTTCTCTTCTCAGGAGAAGTAGAAGAGCTGACCGAGAGCCGAGTCCTGAGGCAAGTCCTTGCTCCTGTGGCTGGACTATGTGGCTGGCGAAGGCAGGACATGAAAGGGAGGGGAATCTTCCAGCCTTCAGGCTGCTGGAAATAGGTGAGTTTTCTTTATTTCCTCAGGATATCTGAAGCTGGATGTGTTGAGGGACCCGTGGTCTCGCAGTTGCTGTTAAAAGAGCAGCAGCTCCATTGTCCGGAGCAGAGGGTGGGAGAAGAGGAGTCACTAGGGTGAAGTGCTTGGTTGTGAAGCACTTGGGTATGAAGCTAAGAAAGCAATTTAAATCACTAGTAAACCAGCACGCACCGTCGATTTGTGTGGTCAGTGTGCGAGGCCTCTCTCACAAACGTAAGCAGTAACTGCTTTTTATGTCTTCTTTGAATCTGGGTGTTGAACGCTTCATAAAACCCCGTCCTTTCAAAGTGTCCCAGGAGGGTTCAGGTTTATCTCTAAAGCAGCGAGTGCCAGGCACCTGTTGTGTTTGGCAAGCGATTGCCAGGTTTAGTTCTTCGTTTGTCAGGTTCTTGGTTAAATACCTCGCCTTGGCTGGGGTAGAGAGGCGATTAGCTCATAAAACCTCTCCGGTGTCCCTGCACGAGCTTCCTGCTGCTCTTCTCCAAGGTGTGTTACTCCCTTATGTCTCCTGTCTTTTTTAATCTCGACCTTCAGTCTGTTTGCCATCTCGGCGTGAAGGCTGACAATCTGCTGACTCAGCAGCTCGGATTCCTGGGAAGACCAGCACGATTGCGTTAACTGTGTCTTTGCTGATGCCAGTGAGTTCTTTTCAGCTTCCTCCTGCCTTGTAGTTTTGCTCAGAGAAGAGAAATAGCCACCTGCAATCCTGAGACGAGAAAGGCGCTTCTTCTCTCCCATGCAGATGTGGGGACTGGAGCCTGTTCTTCAGCGCCTTCCCAGCTGATACATCTCCTTCCTTCGTCTGCTCCTCATTCATCTCTTCCCTGGCACCTGTGTAACTTGGCCATTGCATGGCCTGGGTGATCTCTGAGCTGCAAAATGCTCAACAGCCAGGCTCTAAAGCGAGGGTCCTGGTGTAGAAAGGACAGAAGCTGCTCCTAGTGCCAGTGCTGAGCTGCTGTGTCATCTTGCGCACGCTCAGCTTTGGTTTTGCTTTTCCCCCTTGCGGGGCCAAGGAAACCTGCCCTGTAGTTACCCACAGGGTGTCATAGGGTCATATCACAGAATGGTTTGGGTTGGAAGGGACCTCAGGGATCATCTCGTTCCACCCCCCCTGCCGTGGCAGGGACATCCCCCACCAGATCAGGCTGCTCAGGGCTCCATCCAGCCTGGCCTCGGATACCTCCAGGGATGGAGCATCCACAGCCTCCCTGGGCAACCTGTGCCAGCGCCTCAGCACCCTCAGGGTAAAGAACTTCTTCCTTGGATCTAGTCTAAACCTACGCTCTCCCAGCTTCCACCCATTACCCCTCGTCTTATCACTACAGGCTCTTGTAAAAAGTCCCTCCCCAGCCTTCTTGTGGCCCCTTCAGGTCCTGGCAGGCTGCTCTAAGGTCTCCCTGGAGCCTTCTCCAGGCTGAACAAACCCAACTCTCTCAGCCTGTCCTTGTAGGTGTCGAGACACTTCTTAAGCACAGATAAACCTGATCCAAGCCTCTGGGGAAAGGAGATGCCCTCTCAACTATTGGTCTAGAGGGAGCTGGAAGCCGGCTGATTAATCTCAGCACGCACCCGTGAGAGGAGAGTTGCCCTTGTTTTCATTCCAGGCACGTGCCTTGGGACAAAACGCCGGTTGTGTCCGTGTTCAGCCCGCCTCCGTGCCTCGCCCTGTCCGCTCTTCACTTCCACACCCGTTCGTTTCGGAGTCCCTTTCCCCTTGACTTAAGCCCAAGCCCAGGACGCAGAGCTGCAGCCAGAGGGAGGTTGTACCGTACCTGGAGTAACATCCGCCAGCACAGCGCTTCACCTGGTGCAGTCACCTTGAGGCGGATCTGTCCCACGTCGGCGCTTCGTTCTGCGTTTTTGAGAAGGGAGCTTGCAAGGAGAACCTTCTTGCTTTTTCCACTTGCCAGCATCACAGCTCCGGCTTTTCTGAAGTTGTTCCCTCTTGGAAGAGGAGGAGTTGGGGTGCAGGGACTGACGGGCAGTTGGCGTGTCCAAGCCTGGCTGTGGTGGACAGGTTGCACTTTGAAGGACAACCCCTGTGACTTGGTCCCCTCCCTAATCCATAGCAAAGACCCACTATTTCAATTTTTTTTAAGCTCCTGGGGGCCTCTCTATGGCTGCTGGGCTGACAGACCAGAGGCAGGGGTTATTTTAGGAATGAGGAAGGTGATGTCCAAGTTGCGGACAACGGCTTCTTGGCGAGCAGCAAGAATCATACAGCTTTGTGTGGATGCTTCCTTAGGTCCAAGGTTTTCCTGTCTTTGGAGATGTTCAGATTCCAGAATGGCTGGGTTCTGTCCCTGCCCAAAGCGCAGTCAAGTCCTACATGGTCAGTATTTTTCAGAAACTTGAAAAAAATCCTACTCTGCTCCCATGTGACGTGAATATACCACTGCTTTCCGGGATCCTAACTGCGCGCTGGTGAGAAGCCCCCGAAAAACCTCGAGTTCCTGCTGTTCAATTTTCATATTTTTCAGCTCTAATTTGAAACTCTTAATTTTGACCAAGCATGAATCTTCTCCCCTTCCCCTATAACACTGTTGCCTTGTCGCTAATTAATTGCGTGGCAATTTAAAAAGTGGAACAACCGATTTCTGCCAGTGCAGAATTTGGGGCTATTGTGTGCGTAGGTTATATTTAACGCCCTCTTGCTGTGATTAAAAGATGGTTTCTGCATTTGCAGGACCAGATCCTCGTTGGCTTTTGAAGTTAGCTGGGATGTGGTGGATTTTAAACCGCCGAGGATAAAGCCTGTGGTGCCTTAAATATTTAAACCCCTTTGTCATCCGGAGATGAGCCACTTTCAAACTCCTTTTACGTGCAGACTGGCGAGGTCCTGCAAAAGGTGTTTGACCACTGTACGGCAACTTTTAAACCTCCCGATGAAAGATTCGCGTATCTTGGACTATTCTCTTCTTGGACTCCCCCCTGATTCCCAGGATATGCGAACCAAAAAGCCGAAAGCTTTTGCTGTACCCTCTTGACGTCTCCTAAAATACACCCGTGCGCATAAATCCTTTGCTGGGTCATGCTGCCGTAGCTCCACGGAGTTCAGTCGAGCCAAGCTGGGCTAAACGCGTGAGGGCGAATCTTCCTGATCTTTTGAACTGGGTATCAAAGCGCTCGCCCTGGATGAAAGCTCCAAGGGATGCTCTTGCTGAAGTGAGAGATGCTCTGCTGGCAGCCAGCTCCGTCGGGGGGTGGTTTCCATCCTCCTACAGCTGAGCTCGGGTGTTCTGCAGCCTCGCTGACTGCGTCGAGCCGTGCAGAAACTGGTGCTGTGCTTCAGCCCACCCGGGGAAGCACAAACCGGCCGCCCCCAGGGCGTCGGTGTCAGGATTTGCCCACCCCGATACCCACCTCCCTCCGGCGTGGGTAACACCACCGCGGTGGGTTTGTTCTTTGCAGCTCCTCATCCAACGGAAAGGAATTTGGAAAGGAGAGACCGTGAAACATTCCTCCCCTCAAGCCTCACAGGAGAGCTTCTATATTTAATCGCCGGTAATCTCCGTTTGCCGCTCCGCGCCTCTAATGCCTCGCTGCCAGGCCCTCCCTGCAGAAGATAAGAGGCAGGAGGAGGCGATGCGGGTGGGCCGGAGGGGTCACGGCACGTCTCCCTTCCCTTTCCTGCAGCTGGCAGCCGAATTGTTTCACTGGCCCCCACAGAAGGTGCACGGGAAAGCCCCAGCAAGGGAGCACGGCTCCGTTCTAGGAGGCATGGGATGGCTTTTGCCAAAGCTCACCTCGAGTAGGTTCAGCTGAGGTACTGCTGCAGGAGCAGGGCTGGGGGCAGGCAAAATAATAGTTGTATTTAAAACCGAAAAAATAAGAGGAGGCTGTCTTCCTCTGTGTGATTTATGTACACCTTTTTTTTTTTCTTCTTTTTTAGGAAAGAACAGATTAGAGGCATTTTGATTGTCGTGGTTTGGTTTTTTTTTTAACAGATCAGCGTTTTCAGGTGCCAAGGGGTGAGATTTTTTTTTTTTACAGGGTGAAAACTCGTCACTCTCTGAAAAGTGGGGCTTTCTGAGCATTTGCATCCCGAGTTCCTCTTTTTTTGTTGTTTCTTGGTTTCATGGAGCAGGCTGTGAACCGTTTGGTTAGGCAAGAACATGTCGCTGCTGCTCCCTAGAGCCAGGGGATGCACGGAGCTGCGGCGCTGGGGGTCTGCCCCATCCCTTATTCCTTGGGCACATCAGGTTCAATGCAAAAGCTGCTTTTTCAGGTTTGGAAAGGCTGGTGAGATGAAGCAGCTCTGAAAGCCACAGGGGAGCTGCCTCCCTGCCTCTTACACTTGCTATTTCTTTATTTTGCTTTTGTCAGAGAGCTCCGAAGCAGCAGCTCGAATATTTCCACCCCGTTACCCTGAGGTTTTGTTTGTTTGTGGGGATATTTTGTTTGTGTTCAAAGGACCCAACTGGCAGAAGAAAAGGGGACAGAGAGAGTTGTGTGCTCCTGTCTGGGCTTGTGGCTTTTTCTGGGTTTCCAGAGCCAAAAGTTGATCTTTTCCTCTAAATCAAGCGATGCCAGCAGAGATGCTGAACCATCAAGCCTGGGGTCACCAAGCCTGAGCCCCTGCACCCGTGTTACCTTGTGCTGCCTCCTCCGACTGACTTCTCTCTTTTATTTTCCTTTTTGGGCAGGAAAAAGCTGACGTTGCTGAGGGAGATGCTGGCGGGCTGCGGCGCGGGGACCTGCCAGGTGATTGTCACCACTCCCATGGAGATGCTAAAAATCCAGCTGCAGGACGCGGGGCGAATTGGTACGTGGGCTTCTCTTCCCCAAGCAGGGAAAGGGGCTGGGAACGGGCTGTCCGGGCAGAGTAAGTGAAGAAAAAACCTTTTTCCTTCCTTGTGAGGTATCTCAGGCTGTAGCAGCTCCTTTTCCCTCCACCTGGCTTTGCAGAGTCCCTTCCAGTTACCAAAAGCAATGGATTTTTTTTAGTCAAAGCAATAGGCTTGGCAAGGGAAGCAGCAAATGCTGCTGGTGGGTAGAGAGAGACGGGAGAGCTGCCCAGGTGGCCAGCTTGTGAGTGACGAACGCTTTAATTACTGTGCACCCAAGAAGGATTCAATCTCCCCGTCTCCGTCTTTTCTGTTGTCTTATTCTCACTTCTACCCGCCCATACCACCTCCTACCAACTTCCTAAGGGGATATGTCCTTTCCAAATGACTTGTCTCTCCTCTTACTCTTTTTTATTTTTTTTTTAAATTTCCTGACAAAAGCAGTAGTTTTCTTGGCCGAAACAATGAATAAAATTTTCCTGGTGCACTGGATTTTTTGCTGTCACTGTAGTAGTGGTCAGCTGGCGTATGGCCTCGTATCGCGCCCCAGGAGCCCTGCCCGACACCGTCCGTAGCTGTCTGGGAAAATGGGCCGGTTTGTCCTTTAATCTCTCCTTTGATTCCTGAGTAATCACGGATTTGCTTTTTCTTTCCTCTCCTCTGCTGTTTTTAATGCAGACCTTATCCTCTTTGTGTGTATTATTTTCAAATGTTTGAAGGAATTAAGCCGAGGTTTGAGGGGTCAGAAGAGGTTTCTGCCGCTGTGACCAGAGACCTGGGGCGTGGAGGTGGCAGCCAGATCGCCCACAGGTTGATGTGCTCTCCATCTTCTGGCCAAAGAGCAGAAATGCATCAGTTGGGAAAGGAATCATAGAATGTTTTGGGCTGGAAGGCACCCCTAAAGGTCACTTGGTCCAACCTCCTTGCAGGGAGCAGGGACATCTTTCACGAGCTCAGGTTGCTCAGAGCCCCCATCAAGGCTCACCTTGAATGTCTCCAGGGATGGGGCTTCCACCACCTCTCTGGGCAACCTGTGCCAGTGTTTCTGCCTCGGGCGTCTCGCAGCCCATCTCTCTCTCTCTCCCCACAGCGGCGCAGAAGAAGCTGATGGCAGCACAGGCCCAGCTCTCCTCTTCCTCGGCGCCCGGGGCGGCCGAGCCGGTGGTGGAACGCCGCACCACGGCGACGCAGATCACCAGGGAGCTGCTGCGGAGCAAAGGCATCGCGGGACTCTACAAGGGCCTGGGAGCCACGCTGCTGAGGTGCGACGGCTTGACCCCGGACAAAACCATCGCCTTCTGAGTGTGCTGCTCGTTTTTTCTCCGATTTTCACTCATCCTCGTTCTTCTGTCTTTCCCCTTCCTCCCTCCCCGCCACAGGGACGTCCCGTTCTCCATCGTTTACTTCCCGCTCTTCGCCAACCTGAACAAGCTGGGCCAGAAGGACCCCAACGTCAAGGCTCCGTTCTACGTGTCCTTCCTCTCCGGGTGTGTGGCCGGCAGCACAGCCGCTGTGGCCGTCAACCCTTGCGATGGTGAGTCCCGAGTAGCCTCTACAAACAGTTCCTGTGGCGTTGTTGCGATTTCTAAAGGGAAGGTCGCAAAAATGACAGAACTTATCTACATGTAGATCAGCCGGCACTTCTTTATTGCAGCGCTGGGAAGCTTGGAAATCACCCAATGCTTCGAATACCTCACAAAAATTCAATCTATTTATACACTCTTTTACAAAGTTATAATATTTTAACATAAACATGCATACCCTGTCCGCTATTAATTTTAACCTTTATAACGGTGGGTTCAACCCTTATTAATATTCATATATCTTATTTCCATACAATCGCTGGCAATTGAGGTGAGACGACATTTAACCACAAGACAAAAATGGGGCAGTAGGGAGGTAGGGAGGCCTGCCTGCGTGAAATGCAACCTATTGATCTGTCTATATAAAATATGCTGGTGTTGTTATTAAAGCACAGTTGCAGTGAGACCAAAGCACAGATGCGATAAAACCAAAGTACAGGTGCGGTAAGATCTTTCATGAGTACAAGACATTCCCTGCCAGATTTGTAGCCTGCACAGCTCTGGCTTTCGCTAAGGCCTACACACAACTTCTTAGCATAAGTGAAGTTCTATATTCCTTATCCTAATATAAATTAACAAACTAATTTAATTAAAATGGTGATTAGCTATTCATTAAGCAATTAGCTCCTTAAAACTTAAGTTTGATTACAGCATGGGCAGCCGGGGAGCCTCGTGGCCTGTTCTCCTTCTCCACGGCATCTGCCTTAAATACCGCCTTGGTTTCTTGGGAGAAACACCAGAAAATAACTCCTCTCTGGGAAATGTAAGAGTGGCGTCGTGTCTTTTAGATACTTCTCCCAGAAGGAGCTGAGTATTTGAAAATTGGTTCCTGCTTTGTGGTGAGATGACTGAATTGGGAAGTGTGTAAAGCTTAAGTCAGCTTTGGAAACCTCAGTCACGGCAAGGGAGTTGATTTTTGGGCGGCTGCGTTTTTCTTTTATCCGTTTGTAAGGGAATGGGTTGGTTTTCCCCGGTTTTGCTGTGCTCTTGGTGATGTCATTTCGACCGCCTTTCGAAGACGTCACTCTCAGGGTTGGCTTTTTGCCACCCAGTGCCTAAAAATTTTATTTTTTTTTTCCTTTCCAGTGATCAAAACGCGGCTGCAGTCCTTGCAGCGGGGAGTGAACGAGGACACCTACTCAGGAATCCTGGACTGCACTAAGTAAGGCTCCTTGTGAAGCAGGTCACCGCCTGGGATGTCTGTGGCCAGGCAGGGCCAGTGCAGCTTCTTGACCCAGCCAGCAGCTTCTCTCTTGCAGGTTCTCTCTGAACCTGTGCTTTTGTCCACCCATCTGGTACACAGACCATGGCCAGAGGTGTACTGGTGTTGTTTATAGGATCATGGAACCATTAAGGTTGGAAAAGAGCTCTAAGATCCAACCATCAACTCGTGGCCACTAAACCATGTCCCAGTGCCACGTCTGCACGATTTTTGAACACCTCCAGGGCTGGTGACTCCACCACTGCCTCGCTGCTCTTTCAGTAAAGAAATTTCTCCTAATATCCAATCTCAACCTCCCCTGGTGCAACTTGAGGCCATTACCTCTTGTTTCTGTCATTAGTAACCTGGGAGAAGAGCATCCGCCTCTACACCCTCCTCGCAGGGAGCTGTAGAGAGCAACGAGGTCTCCTCTCAGCCTCCTCTTCTCCAGACTAAACAATCCCAGCTCCCTCAGTTGCTCTTCAGAAGACGTATTCTCTAGACCCCTCACCAGCTTCGTATATAGGTGCATGTAAAAGAATATTTTCTTACTTTGAGCGAGGTAGATACAGCATTTAGATGCTTCTGTCCCAACCCCAGCACTTGTAGCACCGAGACTCGATTTCTGCAAAGCGAGACGACACCGTGGTGGGAAAAAGAAAAAAAAAAGTCCGTCCTGGCATGGTCCTCGCTTACGTGTCTCTGCCTTTTCTCCCCAGGAAGATCTGGCAGAAGGAAGGGCCCGCGGCCTTCCTGAAAGGGGCGTACTGCCGCGCCCTCGTCATCGCCCCTCTCTTCGGCATCGCACAAGTTGTCTACTTCATCGGCATCGCCGAGTTCCTGCTGGACATGCTCCCCAAGCACCGGGGTGCCTAGTGTGCCCGCCCGCCTCCTCCCCGCAGCGCCGGAGCCGTCCCCGTGTCCGTCCCCCGCCTCGGTCGATGTCAGAGCAACAGCACAAAGGGTTCGCGCAGGGAGGCGCCGAGGGGAAGCCCTTCCCCGGAACCTGCCCCCTCCCGCTCCTTCCACAGACGATACCTAATCATGCGTATCTTGTGTCACGTTACAAATTGCCATCCTTAAGGACACCGGTAAAGCACAGACTGGGCTCGCAGACCCAGACGTCTCCTCCCAGTCTCCAGGAGAAATAATTACGTGAACCCTCGGCCAGGTCGGTCGCCCTCTTTCTCCCCGGAGGAGCTGGAGGGGCGGCTGCGGCCCCTAGGCCCCTCCTTGGCTCTGCTGGGCAAGGGGGACTCATCCCATCCCGTCGCCGCCCTGACGGGGGGGACGCTGGATCTGGCAAGTTCCTTGGCCCTGGAAACCTTCACCCCTCCCTTCTCCCTCTCTTGAAAACGAGTTGGACTTAGAGGAACTTCTTGGAGATCAGAGGAAGGGAAAGGGAATCGTTGCTGTTGATTTTTATTTCTTTTTTTAACTATTTTTTTTGTAATTCTGTTCGGTTTAAAGCAAAGGGATGTCCCTCCCAACGAGGTGTCGCAGGCACAGCGGGATGAGGCGCAGAATTGGGGTGTCTGCTCTGTAGGGAACACGTCTGTGGGATCACACGAACGTCCGACGGTGCTTCGCTGCTTGGCCACAGGCAGGGGAGGGAGAGGAACTTGGGATCAAGTCTTTTTTTTTGTTATTCTTGTTGTTGCTTTTTTTTTTTTTTTTTAAACGCAAAAGTTGTGAGGAGGGAAAACCAAACGACAAGAAACCACTTACATTCCTTCAGGCTGCCCGCCCCGGGGTGACAAAGCGGTGGCCGCAGGTCTAGATGAGCTGATTTATTGTATTTCTGTTGTTCCAGGAGAGAAGGCTCCTGCTGCCCTTCCCCTCACGTCGGGGGAAAACGGGAGGTCTGGTCGGGCTTCGGGGTGTGACTCGAGCGTGGTTGGAGCCAGCCATGAGTCACAGCACCGCAGCTTTTTGTCCCCCGTGCTTCTGGGGCGGGTGTTGGGTGCCGGGGGGGGCGTGAATCGTGGAATCGCAGAAGGGTTTGGGTTGGGAGGGACCTTCGACATCATCTGGTTCCCTCCCACCAAACCAGGTCGCTCCAAGTCTCGTCCGACCTGACCTCGAACACCTCCGGGGACAAGGCATCACCCACCACCTCCCTGGACAACCTGTTCCACGTCACCATCTCTGCACCCCCGGCGAAGGGACGCTGCCCCAGCTCCTGCCGCTGCGCCAGCTTCCTCGTTCCGTGCTCCTTCGGGCGGTGTAATTAATTCTAGGCGAAACGATCCGAAGCGTGAGATCTACCAGCCCAGCGTGACCTTCTCCATTATTTATTCCATTCGGTGCAATCAGTGTTTAAATTAAACTGGTCGAATTCACTTTTTTTTTTTTATTATTCCTTCTTGTTGCCCCCACCCCTCCCCGCTTTGTCCTCTTTGGTGTTTGTGTTGCAGTTGTATATTTAAATTAATTTAAAAGAAAAAAAAAATCCTCATTATTAACGTTTGAAAGGAAACCACCTCTGTTTCAATGTCCTTGGGTTAGGTTTTTGACGCGTTTTGCTCTTCGGAAAAACTGTCCTGTGGGTGATTTGTCACTTTGCGTGTGTGAATAATTCCGCATCTTTTCCTTTTTTTTCTTTTTTCCTTAATGACTTCTCCGCGTGTCTGGGAAGGAATCTGTGCAAAGGCGACGGTCGATGTCTGTGCTGTGTGTAGTGCTGTGATGCTGCTGCTCTTGCTCTGGGTGGATTAAAAGAGAAAGATTCTTTTTCTTTCTTTTTTTTTTTTTTGTTTTAAAGATGCCCCGTTCCTTCCTCTGTCCTTTACAAGGGAGGTCTCCAAAAGGAAACTTGTCAAAAAACAAAGTAGCCCGTGACGCAGGAGTCCTCTGGGCAGGGAGAAAATTCCTAGAAAGCGAGGGAGGGCTATAGGAAACGAGGAAAATTTCCCAGAGGGATTTCCTGGAGAGCACGGGGAAGGAAATACCCTGCAAAGGGACGGGGGAAATTTCCTGGCGAGGGGTAGGAGGCATTTCTTAACAAGGAAGGGGGGAATTTCCTGCAAAACAAAGGGCAAAGTCCTGGCAAACCCTGCAATAAGTTCCAGGACGGAAGGAAATTTCCTCCTGAAAAGCAGGAAGTGCAGGAGGAAAGAGGCCAAACCCCCAGAGTTCAGCCCCGACACCCCAGGGTAACCCCTCTGTGACCCTCCTGCAGCCCCCACCGGGACTTTTGGGCTGGTTTTATCACTCCCCACAAAACCTCCAAACGAGCC